GATTCACACTCAGTTGCTTCGTACTGATTTTATTTTTTATTTTTCTTACATTTTACGGGTGATTAAAAGACAGAAGTTTCAGCTCAAAGCCTTCTTCAGTGTGTGACACAATTCTTTAACTCCACCCTTTTATCCCATAGTCACACACCTGTTTTTTTTAATTGTGTCACACACTGAGGAAGGCTTTGTGCCGAAACGTCTGTCTTTTAATCACCCGTAAAATGTAAGAAAAATAAAAAATAAAATCAGTACAAAGCAAGTGAGTGCGAATAATTACCTTTTTTTTGGACATTATTGACCTTAAAATAGTTTACAATTTCACAACTGCTTTTTATACTAGTTGAAATAAAATAAATAAGACTCACACCAGAAGGAAAAATATTATAGGAAGTACTGTGAAAAATTCCCCTGCTCTGTTAAGCATCATTTGGGAAATATTTCAAGACAAAAACTCACAGGAGGTCTAATAATTCTGACTTCAACTGTACCTTGTTGTAATATTGCTTTATTTTTCTCTGTTTAGAAGTGGGACAGTTGCTCTGTTTGATCGATTCAGTCTGTACTAATCTGGCAAGTGTGGGAAGCCTTTCAGCAAGGTCTTGCTGTAGATCAGGCAGTAGAGCGCGTGGTGCTAGAAACATCAAGGTCACGGGGTCAATTCCCAGGGAAAGCAAGAACTGACAAGATATCAACTCTCGCTTTTGGAAAATCGTCTGCCAAATGTGCAAATGTGGAAGTGAGCATCACTGTCACCTACTTACTCTGAAGGGCACACTCCTTAAAATGGGAAATCTGTGGGGAGCGGGGAAAGGGTGTCTCATGATGTGGCACACTTGGAGCAATGTAAAACTTAGCTTTTTTTTTTATTTGTTCAACAGTCATTCATAGTTTTCATATAGTATATCCCTTTACACAATGCTAAATATTCCCTTTAGAGTTTGCATCAACACAACACAGGCTCATTGTGGATACGTACCCCTGTCTATATTTCTGGAGATCGTGAAATATGTTCACAGAGGTATCTCGCTTCATTTCACATGTAAAACGAATGTTATGGGGCAGTATGATGCCACCAACGAATTGACCGCTTACCTTCATTGGACGGGTTTTCTGGTGTTACCAGATTGCCCAGTACCTCGCCAGATATGCCAATGTTAGGAGGTGGAGTTGACCATGATGATGGGGTTTAAGTCTGGCAAAGAACAATTCCAGAAATCAGGTAAAATATATATATAAAATGTATAATATAACCAGTATATATATATATATATATATATATATATATATATATTTATATATATATATATATATATATATATATATATATATATATATATATATATATATATATATATATATATATATATATA